AATATGTAAGTACAAGTAATTAAAAATAATAATAAATAGTATGTGAGTACTTGCCAAATGCATAAACCGTCTTCCCTTCACAGTCAACATTGGAGGTAGGTAGTGCTGACACCCCATCTTACTATTGTTAAGGGAACTGCAGCACTGATAATTGAAGAAATTGCACAAGGCAAATTAGCTAATAAATCGCTGTTCTGGGATTTGAACCCTTGTACTGACTTTGGTGGTGGCGCACGCCTTTAATCCCAGCACTCAGGAGGTAGAGGCAGGTGGATCTCTGTGAGTTGGAGACCAGCCTGGTCTACAAGAGCTAGTTCCATGACAGCCTCCAAAGCCACAGGGAAACCCTGTCTCAAAAAAAATGTATTCTTCGAGGAAGATTAGGAAAGGATGGGAAGTCAAGGGTCAGTATGTTGAAGCAGCAGAGAAAAGGCTGTGATCTGAACAAAGGCAGCCAATGGGGAAGTGCTAGCTTAATTTATTTAGTTTTCCTCTTCTGCCTCTGCTGGCCAAGCGAGGCAAGGGATGCCCACAAAAGAAAATGCCCCATCCACTCTGACCTTGCAAGTTCAGACAGTACCTTTGGCAATAGCAGGAGAAAGCCAGTCAAATAATTGTGTAGGGCCATCACCCAGGAATCTCAGAACCAGACTTCAACCTCTTGTCTGTTTTCTTGAGTCCTCTGACTCCAAATTCAGTGTCTTGAGAAGGTCTCCTTCCCACGACTGTGTAGGGACTAAACATTTAGACTTGTAGAATGATTTTTGAACTGTGTTAATCTTAAACAAGCATCCAGTCACCCTGTGAGACCACTGCAGGAATCACCGTCAATTCTCGAGCATTAAGCAACAACTCACCATTCTCCACAGTTGAATCATCTGTTGCTTATTTACTGCTCTAGGATGCTATTTCCAGGTTAGAAGAGCTTGTGTGCTGGAGTTCTCAGCTGTTGCTGGTCTGAAAGCATATAAAACAAACCATTTCTCTGCCATCTGACTAGAGATTAGAATTTAGGGCTTCAGTCAGTCAGCCTGCCCCTTCCATTGCCTAGCCCTGAAGGCCCAGATCAAGATTCATTTCCTCCCAACAAAACCAGATTATCACAATTTCACCTTTTAGTCCATTACTACAGCCTCAGACTCCTTCCATTCTGTGTGTAAACATGTGCTGTTGTCTCTCTTCTAAAAAAGCAATTATGGACTTGAAGATCCTCACCAAGGTACGGGGACAGGTCTTAATGACATCCAGTTTGTGCAAACACACTCTCCTCCTCTCTTTCTCCCTTTTTCATCTCCCCATAAGGGTGTGTTTGCATCCACATGTGCAGGTGTGGAAGCCAGTCGTCCACATCAGGTGTCTGCATCAATCACTCTTCAGCTATTTTTATAGACAAGCTCTCTCACTGACCCTGCCCTCAATGAGATCTGCCTGCCTCTGCCTTCCTATCTCGGAGTGTCAGGCTTTTGTGTGGGTACTGAGGATCTGAACTCAGGTCATCATGATTGCACAGCAAACCCTATACTGACTGAGTCATCTCCCAGCCCCAGGGAGCAGGTGCCTTTGAGGCTTGTCTTAAACATGGAACTGATGGAAATTGCTGATGGATTGGTGTAAGCATTTCAGCGAATCGTATGGAATGGACAGGGATGGATTCTGACACTCAGGAGACACAGAATACTGAGTGTTACAGCTCAGATGGAAAGGTATTCTGGCAATCGGGAGCCAAGGAATACCACAGGTCACAGTAAGCATAGCAGCTTACAACCTTGCTCCACTGAGGGGGGCAGGGGCCCAGCCTCTAATTCCAAACAGCCACAAGCTGAACAGACACAGGGTTTATATAGGGATTCTTAGGGGGCAGAGTTTTTCCAGGGAGACCTCCAGGGTGGGGATTGATAAGATTTCAATCCCTGAGCTCAGAAAAGCTAGATATCCTACTCAGGGACTGGTTAGTTTTCTGCACAGGTTTAGAGTCAGGTTTGGCTCTTGGTTCAGGGCCAAAGTGTGTTTCTGTGGCACTGGTTTCAGGGTCAGGGTGCATTTCTTTGGTTCTGTTTGCAGGGCCAAAGTGTGTTTCTTTGGCTCTACTCAGGGTGTGTTTCTTTAGGTGGCTCTTTCCCCTTGCAGTCCCCCTTTTGTTTATTAATAAAACAACTGGGAATTGGAAAGGGAGTGGCATTATCATTAGACTACTTCCTGCTGAATTGGGGCATTGAGGTTCATGGGACAATCTTCATCTTCATCGTCCAGTTGTGTTCAGGTGTTTCAGACCTCTGGTTCCTCAGCTAGGGACTGGTAATCCTGCAACAGCAACTGTTTGAAAGTCTGGTTAGAAATCCTTTGAAGTTGCTGTTGAAGGAATCTAGACAAGAAGTTTATAAGGCAGGGTGCCACTAGTAGGATTAAGAAAAGGGAGAGAAGAGGCAGTGGTATGCTTGCGTGCCACAGAGAATCAAAGCACTGTGAATGTTTGGACACAGGGGCTGTGTGGCAGTACTATGTGTTATGGTATTATTGCAGTCTGCAGAATCCAAAGTGCCCACAAGGTGTGTTCCTGAGGAGTTAAAGCAGTCTGCGATACTGAAGAGAGGGATGTGGGAGAGATAAGGGGTGGTAGTAATGTTTGGCTCAGAGCAGTTTACTAGTGGCAAGGTAGGAAAGTCTAATAGGACAATGGGTGAGGCCACGAATGGTGGTTGTGAGTTTGACCCAGGAGGGACACACAACCAGCATTCTTCAAAGCCGTTAGGCAAGGCATTATTCAATAGCTGATATGCAGGGATTGAAGTTTGAAACAAGAGATGGTATGACAGGGAGGTGGGATCAGTATCATCAAAAAGGGGTGACATTAGGGAATTAAGAACCTTTGAGGAGCTTTGGACCACTTCTACAATGTCTATACCTAGGACTTGAGAGAGTGGGATGTGTTGTGTACCCTCTGTATTTTGAGCATGCCTGATGGGCAGCTGTAATAATTGCTATAGCAAAGTTTACCAATGACCCCTGTCTGCCATCTGGGGTTCCATGGGTCTTTAATTAGAATATAAAAAATTCCTATTCTGCATAAAAGGTAGAGTGCATTCCTGAATATGCATTGCGTCTGTTACAGGACCAATAAGGACAACGTCCATAAATTTCTGGCCAGCATTAACAGTGATCTCTAGTCTGATCATAGAGAAAAAACAAACATAGGGTGCATGTGTTTAAGAAATGGGTTTAGGTGTTATAGGGATAAATATGTCCTTTTTGAAACCAGCTAGTGGGCAGTCTCCAGACCCCACCATGTGAGCAGTCATTTTGGACTGCTGGGTATAGGTTTCCTGAACCTCAAATCTCCAATTAGATCTTCAGGTGAAGGAATAAAAAGGGACACAGATAGCTCTTAGGTTTCTGGTGTATGCAACAGAGACAGGTATAAAAATGGGAAAAGGGGCTGGGTGGTGGTGGCACACGCCTTTAATCCCAGCACTTGGGAGGAAGAGGCAGGCAGATCTCTGTGAGTTCAAGACTAGCCTGGTTTACAAGAGCTAGTTCCAGGACAGGCTCCAAATATACACAGAGAAAATCTGTCTCGAAAAACAAAAACAAAAAATGGGAAAGGGGCATAAAGGACTTGGGGAAATCAGAAGTTTAGTTTTGAAAACATTAAAGTTATATTCAGAAGTTATATCCAACTATTTCACTCATATTACCCTGACTATCTTTGCTACTCATGACTTCATCTTTATTTTAATATGTGTGTGTGTGTGTGTGTGTGTGTGTGTGTGTGTGTGTGATTTTAATTTGATTTGGTTTCTGAGACAGGGTCTTACCCTGTAGACCAGGCCAGACTTGAATTCACAGAGATCTGCCTGCCTCTGCCTCCCTGGTGCTGGGATTAAAGTTGTGTGCCACCACACCCAGCTGATCCATTGTTTTATGAGACTTAACACTTTTTAACATTTCTTCAGTCAACTCCAAAGTCTATCCTGCCCTACCTTTTTATTTCTTCCTCCTTACTGCCTTTTTTTTTTCTTTTTGGTGCTGCACATATTAAGCACACACTCTGCCACTGAAATAAGACCCTAATTTCTTATACCCAGATCTTAAACTTTTACAAGTTTTCAGCAGCTGTCTTTCATCTCCTTCACTCTCTCTCATTATCCAAGGAGCAAGAAAGTCCTATTGAGCTCCCCTATGCAGCACTGCTCTCTTTGTCTTTCCACTGCTGCCAGCCTAGTTTAAGTCAGTGATTACTCCTTATCTGGACTTTCCAGCCTTTCAAAAAACTAATTTTCATACACACTACTATTGTAAAATATTTTTTCTAAAGATTCTAAGGGATGGGGCCTTGCTCACTGCAGACAAAGAACCATTTCATCCCAGCACTACAAAAATGACCACAGCCACATTTTCAAAAGAATGAAGTATGTTTTCATTAGCCTAATATTTGAAGCCTTTTATGATCTGGCCTGTTCCGCTAAAATAGAGTACCTTTATCCACTGAGCCATCTTGCCTGTCACAGTTCTTTGTATTTTTAAAAATAATTTATTTTATGTGCATTGGTGTTTTGCCTGCATGCATGTCTGTGTGAGGGTGATGGATCCCCTGGAACTGGAGTTATGGACAGTTATGAGCTGCCATGTGGGTGTTAGGAATTGAACCCGCATCTAATGGAGAAGTAGCCAGTGCTCCTAACTGCTGATCCAGTTCTCCAGCCCCAGTTCTTTGTATTTTTATGTAAGCTGCTCCTTCCAGCAAGCATAACCTCCCATCTTCACCAAGCACAATATTGAACATCCTCTAGGATATTTTCAAATGCTATTAAGAATCCTACTTACCCATTTATTGAATACTCATTATTTAAGTACTTAATGCTTATTTTATTTGCTAAGTTAAGCACCTTACACTCATTCTTTGGTTCTGTTTTGATATGGTTTCTATTACAGATGACTTATTTTCTCTATAATAATGCAGGTTTCTTGAGACACATTGCATCTTTGAATCCATAGCTAAACTGGACACTTAGTTGATGGAAATGCTTGAGTAACTGAATGATTACAGTGTTTCGAATGAGTTCCCACGGAAAAATACAAATGAAGCATAACTGGTCCTATTCTAACTGGAGAACACATGCACACACCCCAAGTATTGGGGAGATAATAAATGGACTATTGACCACATGTGTAGCACAAAGTCAACCTGGGAGAATCATATTTATAGAGTAAAAGGAATATTTCTATTTTCATTTCCAGGTAGACCTGATTTTGGATTGTTTTCCTCCTTCAGTGTGTGACTGAGAATTACTTTTTCTCTTCAAAGTACATCTGTAAGGTGGGCATATTACAGCTTCCTTCATGGAACTGTTGAAAAGACTCAGTAAGATAATAACCAAAGTGCCTATCACAAAACAAATGTTTAAAGCAGGCTAGAATTTTAAAGAAGTCACATATGTGGACTTGTTTCAAAGACTTCATTCAGTAGGTCAGTTCAGGGTGGTGTGAGTGTTGGGGGTCTGGGAACTGACCAGCTGGGCTCAGATCATGGAGGCATCCAGAAACCCAAAAGGTTCAGTGTTAATAGTAGCACTAACATCCTGCAAAACCTAAAACATTCTCCCTAACCATTGCTTGACTGCAGGAGCAAATGAAAGGAAACGTGAGAGGGAGAGAAGGGAGCAGCATTTTCCAACTACTGGGGAGACATACAGCACTTTCCATCACCTGAAAGCTCCAGGAGGACCTGACATTTTTCTTTGGTTAGATTCTACCCTGCAGTGGTCCGCAGTCTCACCTGTTTCAGGAAGGTGATAGACTGTACCTCTATTTAAACATTTAAATGGTGACATTTGCAGATTGAAAACTTGAAGAGTTGAGGCTCCTTTTTAGTGCCAAAACTTGAAATCGCTGCCTTTAGTGTTTGGCTGTGACTCTTAGGCTACCTTACGCCCTTAAAACTACATCTCCCAGCATGCTCTGGAGCCGGTCTGACCTCATTTTAAATAGCCCCGTAGGGCAACAAGGCTGGTTAGTTTTGACCCTGCTGCTTGTGCTATGAAAAAATCGATCTTAATTGGCAGCCATTTAGTCTTTTATATCTGTCAAGCCCCTGTTTTGAACTGTGGTCATTAAATGAAGGGATCTGGTCTGGGAGGGCCCATCCATCCCCGCAAATGAACGAGGGACCAGGCAAACTCTCTGGCTATCTAAATGAGAGGGAATGTTGATCAGGGAACACCGCTCAGTCCGATCAGAGGAGCAGGAACCGGAGCCCACACTGAGTCCCTAAACTGTCGGGTCCAGACTTTGGCTCAGGGACGATTGGAAGTGGGAGATGGAGATGCCAGAGGAATCCACCAATAGTGGGCATTCGTTACCCCCGGTTTATATTTATAGTCCCGAGTATGTCAGCATTTGCGACTCCCTCACCAAG